CAATAAAATTGCATACATATTTTCAACTTTTAAAAATTTAGTTAATATCTCTAGAAAGATTCTAAGTATGCAATTATTTAACCCATTCAATTTTAGTAGTAAGTTTGAAATTTCCAAAAAAGCCCGGTGGTTTTTGCCATTTTTTCACGCAGTTTCTTCCATACAAAAAAAAAATTCGAACATGGAAGAAACTGCGAGAAAAAATTTCCAAAAATCAACGCAATTTTTTTTATAAATATTTCATGCATTGTGGAAAATTCCCTGGGCCAATAATTTTGTGCGTACCCATATTTAATGTACCCATATTTTGACAAAACAAAATTAATATTTGTCATCTTAGATATTTGCCATCTAAAATACAAAAGCACAGACCAGGAAATGAACGGTGTGCTTCAAAAGCATTTTGTGCATGCTAAAGACAGGATAGCAAAACGAAAACTAACGAGATCACTGCAAGAAAAAACGGCGAAGAACTCACACAATTGATAAAATGGATTTTTTAATTTAAGTACTTTTAACTTTTATACACATAGGGACAAAAGTATTGGCACAGAGAACTTTTCACAATGTATGCAAGGTTTTTTATTCTCAGTTCTTTTCGCAAACTTTTTATAAAAACATACCTCATATTACAACACAAATGTAAAAATAAACTTTCAAAACTTTGTGCAAAACTCAGGAAAATTCAATAAATTTGAAACTTTGTAAATAGGTTTTGTAGCCCATTAAATTTTAGTATACTTAAATGCAAGTTTCAAGTTGCTAAAAAATCGCGTTGATTTTTACCAATTTTTTTCTGACGTGTCTTCGGTATAAAAAATGGTGAACATACTTTGTATGGAAGACACTCTGCGAAAAAAATGCCACATCAACGCGATTTATAAGCAACTTGAAACTTACATTTTAGTATACTAAAATTTAATGGGCTACAAAATCTATTTAAAAAGTTTCAAATTTGTTGAATTTTCCTGAGTTTTGCACAAAGTTTTGAAAGTTTATTTTTACATTTGTGTTGTAATATGAGCTATGTTTTTATAAAAAGTTTGCGAAAAGAAATTAGAATAAAAAGCCTTGCATACATGGTGAAAAGTTCTCTGTGTCAATACCTTTTCACAATATTTTCAACTCTAATTAATAATGGACTTTGAACTCTAATAATGGATTTCTTAAAAAAATTATTTTGTTATTTCATTATCGCGTTTTTGAACTCAATAAAATATGTATGCTGATTTGCTAATTATAAATTAATTTAATGTTTAATTTTTTTCAGCACAAACGATTTGAAAATAGACTGAAAAGGACTTGAAAAAGACTCGAAAATGTTTAGAAATACGAATGAAAAGTGACTGGGAAAAGACTCGCAAGTGATTTGAATTACAACTGAAAAATGACTCGAAAAAGGCTAACAAAATCTTACAAATACGACTCAAAAATGACTCTCAAAAGACTAGAAATGCAACTGAAAAATTACTAGCAAAAGACTCGAAAACGATTAGAAATAGAGCTTATTAATTACTCGAGGAAGACTCGAAAGTGTTTAGAAATACGCCTGAAAAGTTATTCGCACGAGACTCAGAAATGATTGTAAATACGACTCGAAAAAGTATCAGAAATGGTCAGAAAAGTGGGTAGTAAAAGACTCGTGAAGAAGAGTCGCGGCCAGGGTACCATTTTCTACCGACAAAAGAGTCTTTTATGATCAGAATATGAGCGCATTTATGATTATTTTAATCGCGGAGAGAACTCAAAAAGACTCGAATATGATCAATAATTTCAGAAAATGCTGGGTGGGACCTGGCAAATGAGCAGTGCGTGTATGTAGTTACCCAAAAAACCCACTACACTTAGAAACTTGGAGAACTATAAATTTTTGATTTAAATTTCTAAGTGCAAAGGAAGCCGTGAGGGAATAATGCTACCATTTCATTTTTTAATGAAATCCCTTACAATATAATTTAAAATGCCACACAAATATACATTTTTTGTATAAATGTAAATCATCTGGCAATCGCAAAATAAACTTTCAAATAAAAACAGAAAATTAAATAAGAACAATCACGATTGAATACGCGTATAAAAATTTATTTTAATGGTAATTTTGTATAAGTTTTGGTGTAAAAACAAATTAAACGTACACAACTTACGTGTACAAATACAAGCGCTGAGAATCAAAGCAAAGAGAAAAGGTAATAGGTGACACGCTGAGTAATCGCGTCTAAGTTTCTAGGTAAGTCAAGTCAAGCCTAAGTAGGGTTGCCAACCGTACTATAATATATAGTATTATACTATTTTTTGGGTCTGCGTACTATATACTGTTGGAAAAAATATAGTAAGCAAAAACACTATATTTCTCCAATTATAAATATAAATATATTTCAGTCGTTTGTAAGAAAGAAATGTTTTAAAATAGATGACATGTATACTGAAATATCAATATTAAAATAAATATACTTTAAAACAAAGGGTCCACAGATCAAAAATGGCAACATTTTTAAAAATACTTAGAACTTACTTAAAATGATTTCGCTAAAGCTCTCTATTCCTGCAACTTCGGCATTTACAGAAAGAGTTTTTCCTATTAAGATTTTGAAATGGTGGGATGAGACGAATATCTCACTAATAAAAGATGAACTTTTGATTTATATTAATTTAAATATTGCAACCCTAAGTCTTGCATAACCCAGCTTTAACTCTTTTGTCTTTATTCTTGGGATTATTGTGACATTTAAGTACATATAGATAACTTGCACACAAACAAATTGTCCTCGTTCTTTTTACCTTCCTTTTATTAGCTCGGGATGTAACTATGTAATATTGATGCGCCTAAAAGATGCAGCGTTTTCTATTCTCAAGTTACATACCTGATGACCAGGGAACGGATTTTTAGGACCTAAAAGCCTATAAAAAAGGCAAAATAAAATAACGAAATAGGCATAAAAAGGCAAAACAAAATAGCGAAAAAGGCAGGAAAAGGCACTAGGTATTGCAAAAAAAGCAAAATAAGGCACTAAAATAAGAAAGAAAATACGAAGAAGAATCAAAAAATACATTTATTTTAGAAATGTTTATATTACAAGTAAAAAGAGAAAAACTATGAACTAGTTTCATTATATGAAAAATTTGTACTTTGAATCTTTGACTATTTTATCCCTTCGAGTTTCTAAGTCATATTAATCTGAATAGTTGTAGTAACATTGAACCACAAGATGCATTTTGAAGTTTTCTAGCAGCATTTTCATTCGATTTTCGCGAAGAAAAGCCTTGAATGTACTAAATGTGCTCTCGACGTAAGTTGATACAAGTGGAGCCCAATTTAAATATGGAACGTTTGAAACGTTCATATTATCAGGAATAAGGGCGCTTTCCTCGCCCTTTACAATATTATCCACACCCCTTATTGTCTCCAAGCCTACGTTAGCTGAGAAAACGGCTTTGAATTTTTCCAACACCAATTTGGCAAGCGGTCCCTGCGCTTCTATAAGCCGCATGGGCATGTTTATATATTTTAATCTTAAAAAAAAAATGTAAATGCCATAATCACTTTTTTAAAGGTAGAAAAGGCAAAAAAAGGCAAATATCTTAAAAAAAGCAAAAAAAAGGCAAATATATAGAATCAGGGAAAGCTAAATCGTGGACATTCTTAATCGAATATACTCTATCTCTTCAGTAGAAAAAAAGGCAATTTCCATAAAATCCGTTCCCTGCTGATGACAGTACGAATGGCAATTATAAT